AAATGCAAGAGCAGAAGTCGTTGCCTTGACTAGTGATGAGGCAACTACTAACCGTACTTGATGGAAAGAACTGAGAATAAGTGTTAAAAAGGAAGATTTCTAAAACTATTTTGAAAATCCTTTTGATTTCAGTAGAAATATTTTTGTTTTTTCTGTTGCGCCTTATTTAATGAAAACTGCAACCATTTATATCAGAAAAAACAACTGAGGGTATATATTATTTAGTTGAAATTGAGCATTTTGTTTAAATTTGAATTTATACTTTAGATACAACCATTTAAATTTTTCATAAAATAAAATCATTAGTATTTAGTTTATAAGACAAAAGAAAATTCACTGACCAAAGTTTACTCAAAATTGACCAAGCAACATTTTGATTTAAATAGTTTATCCAAAATGAAAGTTAAATATGCTGTGAATATAATTAATAAATTTGTATAATATAATGAAAATAAGTATAGGTAAATTCTTATTAATTTTAAATAAAATAAATTTTTTTTTTTTAGTGCAAAATAAAAACTATTATTGTTTTATTTTAACTATTATTTATTTTAGCTATTCAATGCATCAATGGCTGTAGGTATTGAGTTAAAATAATGTAGGATTAGAAAATTTTGACGTGACAGTTTTATTTAGCATAATATAGGTATTAAATTTGTTAAATCAACAATTTCCTACAGAAGAAATACTAAAGAATAGTATTACTTAAGAGGCTTCTTATATCTATTTTAGTGTTATATGCTTAGGATAATAATATAATTGACAGGTATAACAATGAAACTGTGGAAATTTTATTTATAAAATTTAACATTTAAAATTTATAAAATTATTTTGATAAAATTTGTAAAAATATTTAGTATTTACCTATTATTTTAATTTTTGTGTCTCTAATCATCTATTATTATACACACAAAATATTTTAATTTGCAGATTTTTAAACAAGATTTCTCATGGTTAACAGAATGGGAATCTAATGTAGAAAACAAATTAATTGATGAAAATGAATTTTTAACTAGAGAGCTACAGCTGATGGATTAAAGATAACTTTAAATCTATAATTGATTTCACAAAATATTTATTAGGAGACTGTAGTTTTAATTATGTTTTGACTGGCAAATTAAATTAGGATAATTTGGAAGTAAAATAATTTTTATTTAAAAAATATCTATCAAATATTAATAAATATTATTTATATTGTGGTACATTCAGAAAATGTTTGGTATTGTAAGGCAAGATTTTGGTGCAAATGAATGATAATCTGACCTGTCAAATGTTCCTGCAATTATATAGAATGATTTCTGTACACTCTCTTATAAAACCATCAAAATCTGACAACTGTACTAAATTTGAAGGAACTAGGCACTAGGCTTAACTAAATTATATTACTAAATTATTTAATTCAATTTTTGTTGTTAGAAACAAATAATCATATAACAGTAGTAGATTTAAAAACATAATAAATTATTCATTAAATTCATCAGCCCGAGAACAAAAGCATAGAGTTGTAAAATAAAATAGAAACTGATGTCAATGAAGTTAGCAGTGAGTTTGAAGATATTCTTGTGTTAGAACCAAATCATTTTTCAGACTCAACAATTTTTGATTGTACTGTTTATTTTTTAGCGAGATAGGTTTAAATTTGTATCAGAATATATAAGAATATTTTTTTAATATATTAATCAAAATTTTTATTTTCAAGTATACATTTAGCGAGGCGTTTAATCAATCAAACTCTTCAGCAGAGGCTGATTTAGTAAATTTAAAGTCTAGAAGTTATTTAACTCATCCTAATTAAAACCTGTTTGTGATACTAAGAAATTTAGAAGAATGTTTCAAAAAACTTGCAGATTCTATTCATGTTTTTGAAAACACATATGAAGAATTTTTAACCAACTATATTAACTTGAATTTTCTATGTACTAGTCATAAAACTGAAATACTTGCCGACAAAATATGTAATACATCAAATTTATAATAATGAAAATAAGACTAAAAATAAATTGTCTAAATTAGTAGCTACCTAATTAATAGTTGGTAAAAAACGATATTTTTTATTTAAACTATATAATATTAAAAATTGTATTTAGTTATGTAGCTGTAGGTTATATGAGTACTTAATATTATAAAATTTATAAGTATAGTGTGTTTTAATATTGTCCTCTAAATAGAAGAAATAAATCAAAAATATTAAACTTGCAAATTATTATTTTTAAATTGTAAAGATTTAAGATAGGTAAATAGTAGGTACCTACCTATTTTAATTTATAAGAATATTGTTTATTATTATTGCCTGCGCTATTATCACAAAGATACAATTATTTGCTTAAGAGGACATAGCATCGCAATGTTGTCTCTGACCTCTTACACACGTACGACGCGACATACTAAATTTTCTGTCAACAGTTTCAATAGTGTGCTTTTAGTTTTAGTTTTGATATTAGAGTGATTTGACCTATTGCCAATCTTTTAGATAAGAACACTATCTGTGTTCTCTCGTTGGTTTTTTAAAATATTAAAATTTTTAAGAGAATTATGAGTATTTTCAAATGTTTATATTTTTCATGCTCATGAACACCTCTGTGATGGATCACTAGAGCGGTAGGCCTTAATGACTAGGTACACTATCGAAATAGATGAAAGGGGACTATACAAATGGTATAACAATATTATCGAGACGTACGACAAAGCGCACATAAATACATAATGGTTTATCATAAGATTTATAAAATTAACACAAT